AAAAAAAAAAAAAAAAAAAAAAAAATCAAATCAAATATTGTGCGAAACAACCTTCAGTCTATTTGCATAAAGTATATATAAAACATAAATGAATTAATTTTCAGTTTATGCTTGAGTCCTATTGTCCAGATATCTTATTGTATGTATGCAGAAATTCCAAAATCTGAAAAAGCTCACGACACCCTCTGGTCCCAATCATTCTGGATGAGGGATATTCAGCCTGTATCACTAGCCTCAAAGGAAGAAAGTAAATATTGAGGAATCCCTGGTAAAGTCAGGTGACCACTACTTTTGTTTCTATCAGTCACGGTGTCTCCTTTCTCTACCAGGGCCAGACACCATTCGATGTGGCTGATGAGGGTCTTGTGGAACACTTGGAGATGCTTCAGAAGAAGCAGAATGTGGTGAGTCTCTCTTTGATGCTTTAAATTTTTTTTCTAGAATTTTGCATTTTGTACTGGATTTCTTAGTCACTTGCTTAAGTTATGTTTGCTGGGAGCTGAACTGGATATATCTTCATTCCAGACATGTTAGTGATTTCATTCAATTATTAACCATCAATTTAAAGGAAGCATCCCAGAAACTGTGTTATTAAAGTTTGTATGTTATAAGCTAGCCTTTAAGCAACTTAACAACAACAAAAACTAGTAATAACCCTTGAGTTCTAGAAAATGAGTATGTTCAAATTAGAATTTTTTTCCAAATAGGAAGTACTAGAATAAAGGACACCATAGCTTTTTTCTTTTTCTTGTTGACTAAAAGGACATTGTTATTTAAAGTACATTGACTAGAAAGAAAAATAAACATCTTTCTTAACAAACACAACACTAAAATTTGTCATTTAGTATTGGCCAGTAATTCATATTCATTCCAGATTCGTGAACCATGCAGAGTCACTTCCTCTTCTCCCCCCTCCTCCTCCTCTTCATTTTAAATCTTTTATTGTCTAATTGCACATGTTGTTTTGCTTAGAGCTCCATGGAAGACCTGTGTAAATGTAGTACCCATGTAGAGATTGTAGAATGAAAAACAACCTCCCAATATATAGATGAAGAGTGAATAAGTCATTTTCTACTCATAAAAAGAATGAATTTTTAAAAAAAAAGAATGAATAATTTGAGGGAGGAGAATAAAATTTGACCACAGGGTAGGACCAGGAAAAAAAAAATCCCTGGGTTTCCTTTGTTTTTTTTCTTTCCATGTGTCATGGTGCAAATTATGTGAACTTAAGTTTGGAACAAATGTGGGATATAGGACAGTTCTGAATCAGAGAACTATAAAGCTCATGATGGGAAAACATCTGCCATGTCTAACATTGGGTGTGCTTCAGATAGAAAAGCAGAGATTCTTGGTATTTCTAGACTCATTGAGAAAGTTGTATACAAAAAACAGACAATAACTGTAGCTCATTTTATTTTCTTTATTGAACAGTCAGGAATTATGGAAACCTGAGAATTTCCAAATGCAGTATTATGGTATAGTTTTATATAGGAGCAGCAACCTTCCTAATTCAAGATAGACAGATCTATCGATCTATCTGTCTATCTGGCCGGGGATTTGGCTCAGTGGTTCCGCTGCCTTCCTGGCAAGCACAAGGACCTGAGTTCGATCCCTGGTACCACCACCAAAAAAAACCCACAAGATATACACACACACACACACTTATGTAGTTTTTTTGCTTGTGCTTTTAAAAAATTTTTATTTTGAAATAATTTTTAGACTTGTGTAGAAGTTATGAAAATAATAGAGTTCCTATATATTGTTTCCCTAGCATAGTTTTAACATAAATGACAGCTTTACTAAATAACAGTTTTACACTAATAGGAATGGTATTTATCTTTGTCTCCTGTGTTATTTTAGACTCCAGGGATATAAATACCTTTTGTCTATAGCATGCATCTAAATATTAGGCTGTTTTCTCTAAGGACTTATTTCCTGTGTTTTCTTTAAAACTATTTGCAGCTTATTTCACTGTATGGATCATATCAAATTCTTTCCAAATTCCTGCTGGCTTTGTAATCTTCAGAAGCTAGGGTTTTTCTTGCAAGATTCAACTTGAGTATTTCAACCAAGCAGTCTTCTCAGTGCTCTGACACTGTGGCTTTTCTATTCTACCTTGGATGCAGTTTGGGTTTTTTTGGCATTTTCTTCTAAGGAGACTCAACTGATTCTCTCTTCTTCAGTTTCCCCTACTTGCTGTTGGTTCTATTTTCTTCATAATGGCAGCACCAATTTAGTTCTCAGTACTGCTGATTTTTCACGAGTAGTCAACTTCTTCCCTTTTCTCTGTTTTCACAATTTCTAGCTTCGAAGTGAAAAGGAAACACGGAATAAACTTATTGAATCAGACCTGAACAGCAAGTTGCAGAGTGGACTCTTTAAGAAGTAAGATGCTTAGGCTTGAGAACTGGATGTGCTTGGCTATGTGGGATGACACATTTAAGAATTTATAAAATGAAGAAACTGTGTTTGACTTTAGCCAAATGATCTTCATACATGTGGGAAAGTTTGTGGACAAGGCAATGGCATTGATATGGGAGGAGAAATACTGAAGATGAATGAATATATTTTAAATTTAGAAATTAAGAGAGACTGTATTCATGCAGTATTTCTTCCATCATACCATGGGATTCTTAGTCTCTTTTGCTCCCTTTACTACGTTGTACTATCCATAAGCTCAGGAACTATGTTTTTCTGTTTTGTTTACTATTGTATCAGTACCTAGCATGATTGCTGGCTATCACAAGTACTCAGTAAACATGTGTTGAATGATTTTCAAAAATATTTATCTTCCCCATCATCATTCTAATTTGTGATTTTCTTTTTTCTGTATATTAAACAGGTCCTATCTCCTTCAGTCGTGTTCTGTGTGTGTGTGTGTGTGTGTGTGTGTGAGAGAGAGAGAGAGAGAGAGGGAGACAGAGACAGAGACAGAGACAGAGAGACAGACAGAGTGATGGGAGGAGGCACTAAGGATTAAACCCAAGCAAGGCCTTTACACTAAGCTGCATCCCCAGCCCTTTTATATTCTGAGACAAAGTCTGGCTAAGTTGCTAAATTTCTCAGGCTGGCCTCAAACTCACAATCTGCCTGCCTCAGCCATTAAAATAGATGGGATTACTGTGATGGGTTACCAAGTCTATCTTAAGTCATACCCTGAAATCAGCACTAAACCTTAATCTGAAAAAAACCAAGGGTACAGAATAATACATAGATATTAAAGAGGATTTGAATATGTTTTTTTCTATTGCTTCTACATATAGCTTTATAGATTTGTTTCCTGTACTATAGCTGTCATTGAACCTGAGTGGTTTGTCACTCTGACTTACATTCAATTGTATCTCTAATTTAGCAAAGAGAAGATGCTCTATGAGGAAGAGACACTCAAATCCCAAGAAATGGAGGAAGAAAACAAAGAATCCAGTAGCTCAAGTTCAGAGGAAGAGGAAGGTGAAGATGAAGCTTCTGAGTCAGAAACTGAGAAGGAGGCAGGTAATGCAAAGATATTCACAGCAAATATCCTCTGTTTTCACTGCTTGTTAGAGAGCTAGCCTGACCTCAGAGGGCTCCTGAAAGAGCTCAAAGTTCAGTTTCCAAGGATAACTTTTTAAATTGCTATTGATAACGTGGCTATAAAAGCTATGAGCTGTGTGTGAGGAAGGAGCAAAATCACACTAACCTTTAATACTCTTATTGATGGTATATACAGTTATCCTTCTGTATCCATGGAAGATTAGTTTCAGGAGCCCCCACAGATACCAAAATCCTTAGATGTTCAAGTTCCTTAGGTAAAATGGTGTAGTATTTGCATAGAACCTATGCACATGCTCCTGTATAATTTAAATCATGTCTAGGTTATTTGTAATAACTAATTCAAAGGAAATACTGTGTAAATAGCTATTGAATTTATTGTTTAAGTAATAATGAAAAGTAAAAACATCTATACATGTATTGTACTGGTGCATTTTTTTTTCCTGAATATTTTCAATCCGTGGTTAGTGGAATCCATGGATGTTGGACCCACAGATATGAAGGACCGACTGTATGTCATATGGAGCTTCTTAAGTTCACTATTTGACAAGACAGAAACCTTAACAGTGAGAACAAAATACTGAATATTGAATGTGGTCAGACCAACACACTGTAAAACAGCCCCTAGGTTTTGACATACAAGTCAGATGAACACTGAGAAATACATACCAAGTGTTACTAAATAGATTTTCAACTGTAATAGAATGGTTTTCATAGGTAAGCGGAAAATAACAATAAGCTGAGGTTTTATAGCACAGTTTTATAGTACTTGCTGGCAAATTATCCCTTCAGATTTGTGTGAATAACAAGACCTAGGTAGAGGGAAAGGATTGCACTGTAAGTTTGTAATGGAGTCTATGTTTTTCTCTGAATTCTGCTGTAGCTGGCCTACCCATAATGAGATTTAACTCACTCTGTTGCCTGAGCCCCCAGCTTCTGATGACATCTGACTTTGCTGACACTCAATTGTGGGAGAATACTGCCCTCCTCTATGACTCAGTCTGAGGTTCATCTGTCTGGAACACTGGGTTTATTATACTTACAGGTCTCAGCACAGTGCCTGGCATATGACACATATTCACATTCATTAAATTTTTTTTGTTTTTTAATATATCTGATAGAGGAATAGAAAGGCATTTATGTATATAAAATACATGTTGTGTGAATGAGATCAGTGCTGTCAGTGGTATCATGAACAAGAAAGATTATATCTAGTTCAAGGAATTGTAGTAAAACTTTATATAGTGCTTTTCATTTTGCAATGCACTTAAACTTTTTTATTTAACTCTCATAACCACACTCTGGGGTATTTATCACTATTACCCCTTTTAGAATGGCAGATTGACACTGTAGGAGGTTAGGTGAATTAGGTTTCGTAGCCTGAGGTGTGCCTGAGATCTTGACTTTGATGTAGGACTCCTCAGAATAATGCAGTAGCAGTGGAGATTATCTGGGTAACAAGTGGTCAGTAAAACTGTGGAGAAGAGTGAGATCATCAAGGGAGAGGTTGCAGAGAAAAGAGAAATGAAAAAGAATACTGGGCATACTATGTTTAGGAAGTGAAATGAATCAGTGTAGGAGGTAAAAAAGATATGATCAGAGAACTTGAGAAAAACCAGGATATCCATTTCTGCCTCAGAAAATCCACGGCAGCCATGAGAAGGGAGCTCAAGGACGATTCAGCAATTAGGAAATTACTCGTAATCCTAGAGAGCAGTTTCAGTAGCCTGGTGTGGGCAGAAGCCAGATGGTTTCAGTAAGCTTCCCTATTCATTTCTATAGTTCTCTGCCAAGCAAAACTTTATTTGTGCCCATAGCCCAGCTCAAGTCGGCTTCTCCTTGGAAGCCTCACCATATAGATGCATGGAGGTTTTTTCCCCTCCTCTGATTTCTGTAGCTATTTGTTTGAAATTGTTTTATATTATTTTTTTCATGCTGCTTAGTATCTGAATAATTTCTGTCATTTCTCAGTCCTCTGCTTTTCCTCCACTGGCAAGTTGTGGAAGCATGTGAACGTATTTTGTGTCTTGTTCGTCATTCTGTATGCCACAGGGCCTCCATATCGTAGGTGTTCAGTAAATAAACTGGAAAAGTGCAAGGAAGTGAGTTATCCCCAAATCTTCCCAGATGTTGCCTGTCACATATGTATGTACTGAATTTGTTGGATTGTTTATCTCATTTTAAAAGATCCACAGATATAACCTCATAAAATGGATAGTTTTCATATTTCTTATGTGTAAATTTTGTAATAAAGAATACAAATTTTATTTTGAGGTCAGTGTAAGCATTTTGATTCGAACTTGTTTACCCTTTTTATTTATTTGCCTTAAATATTTAGTGTATCACTTATCTATTGCCGCATAATAATCCTTCCCCAGACTTAGTGGCTTAAGATAACTCTTTATGTGCACCAAATTCTATAGATTGGCAATTTTGGAAGGCCTCAGCTGAGTAGCTTGTGTTTCTTCCTCATGGTAGCACTGGGCTCACCTATGTTTGTATGGTTGCTTGGTAAATCAGTTGAGGGGATGGATGGAACTGATTGCCGTTGCTCACCTTCTGGTGGCTGGCTTAGGGCAAGTGGGCCCTGTGTCCCCTGTCATCAGGCAGGCTAGCTCTTACTTCTTCATGTGGCCTGGATTCCAGAAGCAGTCAGAGCAGGCAGATCTCAGTGGACAAGCACTTTCCAAGCCTCTAATTGTATCACATGTGCTAATGTTCCACTGGCCATAGCGAGTCACCTGGCCAAGCCCAGAGTCATTGTGAAGAGACACTTTACAGTGGTATACATTCAGGGAGGTGTGATTTGTTGGAAGCTGTTATTGCAATAATCTACCACATTTGAGTAGTAAGCTGGATTTCTTCACTTGATCTTAGCCAAACAGCCAAGAAGAGATAAGTTGGATTTCTTGAATCTACAGATATTCCAACAGTATTTCAAGAATACTTCGATAGCCAGTGATGTGGCTCAGTGGTGCTGTGCCTGCCTCGCAAGCACAAGGTCCTGAGTTTGATCCCCAGTAATGGAAAAAAGAAAAAGAAAAGAAGAAAGAATACTTTGAATATTCACAATAACTACAAAAAAATAACAATAATAACATGAGACTTGCTGTAGCCAATGAGCTATGCAAATTTAACAACTATTTCTAATCTTTATAACAATTCTTATAAGACAGGAATCGAAATCTGATTAATCTGTAAGAAAAGAGACATTCAGATGTGATACATATTTTGCCCAGCATCACCCAAACTTAAAATTGTCACATAATTCATGATAACTCTGGGGCTCTGCTTCAAGAATACGTAGACCAGAACCCGTACCTACTAGGTGCAGGCACTGTGCTAGTTGTTTAGTATGCAGTAATAAGCAAAATGGATAGCTTTCTGATTGGTGACCCCACTGAGTTGGACTACTACTCCCATATATGTGTGACTTTGGCTTGGTTTTATAGTTCAACCTGCATCCTTTATAAACCTTTCTACCTTTATTTCCTGTTGTAACCCTGAGAATTCTCATTATTTGGATTATGCTGGCCCCATCACTGACCACAGTTGTATGTATTTTGATTTCTGAGCCATTACTCATGCCCTTTCTTCCTCCTCACCGTCCAGTTGGTATTTTCTTCCGGCTTCCTCCATGCTTCCGTTTTTCTGCAGAACACTTAACTGTGTAGCAGCTGTCCTTATTGTTTCCTACCTTGGAGGATCTGCCTCTTTTCTGATATCTTACAGCTCTTGTTTACCTGAATCACCCAATTTAATACCTGAATTATTATATATTTAGTATTTGAATACTAAATATATATGATTACATATTATTGTTATGATTATAATGTGCCTCACCTCTTTCTCTTAATTATAATTACCATGAAAACAAAGTTTCTCTTACTTTTTTTTTCTGTCATTCTTGCCCAGCTCTCCCAAAATATAGAATGGATTGATTCTTCATAAGTAGTTACTAATGAGTTTTATATATAACCAACAATGTTGGGACAGTTCTGTTTTCATCGGAAAATTGGATTTGGTGCCTACCAAGATGAGAAAACCATTGGGTTTGTTTTCTTCGGCTCACAATTTCCGGAGTTCATTGTAGTTTGAGTTAAGATATTACATGGCCCTGATAATCTGTTTTGATAATTGGAAAACCTTTTCTTTTAGCTGTAGAAGACACGATAAAAGCAAGGTTTTCATACTTCTACTTATTGCTTGTCTTGTCTTAACAGATAAAAAGCCTGAAGCCACTGTCAATCATTCCAATTCTGAAAGCAAGAGTAGAATCACAGAGCAAATACCAGCACCAGCTCAAAATACCTTCTCTGCCTCTTCTGCTAGGCGAGTGAGTACTCTGGAATTAATTTGGGTATTATATTTCTCTCTAGTCCAATTACACATTTAGAAAGGCCTCGATGACACCTTCTTGTAAAAGAATAAAGATATATTCTGGCCTGTTTTAGTTTGTTCCATAGGAAAATACCACATATTGTGCATCTAGTTCTGGAGGCTGGAAAGTCACAGTCTGTGTTCTGGTGGATTCAGTTCTTCACAAGGGCGCTCCTGCTTGCTACATCCTGCCATGGTAGAGGCAGGTACCTCTTCCCCTGCTTTTAAGGGTACCAGACTTGCTGGATTAGAGCCCCACCCAGTTGGCCTTGTATAACTTTTATCGCCTCACTCTCCAAAGGCCTCTTCTCCAAATTAAGTCACACTGTGCATTAGGGCTTCAACATATGAATTTTGGAGGGGCACAGACATTCAGTCCATAATATTGCCCCTCAAACCTTATAAAACCACCACCAAATAATGTGGCCACAAATATGTGAAGACCACATAGGGTAGAGTAGTCTGGGACCAAAGAAATTTTGTCATTTGCCTGTTTTCCTCATTTCTGAAGTTAAAATAATTATGTGTAGAGTTTCGAATGGTCTGGAAAGATATACAGAATCCAGATTTAGTTGTTTTGATGACTCTTCTTCTTTCAAAATTTTTTTTTTTTTTTGGTTTTTGAGATAGTCTCACTATGTAGTTGAGACTGACCTGGAACTCACTGTGTAGCTCAGGCTGGTCTCAAACTCACAGCGATCCTCCTGCCTCAGCCTCCCGAGTGCTGGGATTACAGGCGTGCGCCACCACGCCCAGCCTCCTTTCAACTTCTTATTAAATATTTACTTTCATGAGTAAAGTCTTTATAGTTTGATGGCTAGAGGGCAGAAATAGAACTTATTGAAATACCAGAGACACTTCCTGCTCCAGCTTTATGCAGGCCTCAGAATCTGTAGGCCAATGAGACCAAGTTCCATGGAGACCCTTCCTCCTCAAAGTATGAAATTAGTCTTGAGGTTACAAACAAATCTGAATTCTTTGGAATGAAGTTGTTAAGAGATATTAAATTTTAGGGATGTTAACTTGATCTTCTAACTTCCTCGTGAATTGAAAAGATGGTCTAATTGCATCCTTGTGGGAAATGAAGGGCCAAGGCCTGGTTACTTGTTTTTTTGGTCCCAGGACTCAAACTCAGAATCTTGCGCTTGTGAGTCAGTTGCAGTGCCACTGAGCTAAATCCCTGGCCCTGGTTACTTGTTTATTCCTAGAAGCATTGTTGTAAATCATTGAATGGATTTTAGGTAGAATGCAGTCTTTGCTTGATATGTATGTAGTCATTTTCTCAGACCTCATATACCACCACTACTTCCAGATACGACCAAACTTCCTATTTAGAAAAAAAATTACTAAATTTAAAAAATATAAATACACACAAGCAATAATTATTTCACTTTGCTAGACTAATACTGGGAAAAAGGAAAAGATTTTTCTTGGAATCAGGTATCTTGTTAAAGGAAAAGAACATATAAGTGTCTATATTCTGATGCTTGATGAGAAGAAAAATCTGTGAATTGGAGAAAGTGATGTAATAGTTTATAGCATTTTCAGTCTAACAGGCAGGGAAGATGGCTGCTATTGGAGAACAACTGAAGCCTTCTTGCAAAGGTCCCTACACCCATGAAAGGGCTGTTTGTTGGTTGACATTTCAAAGACCAATTATACCCCAAAGTGGTCCTTGGACTAATGCTAGTTTATGATGTTTTCCTAGTTTCTAATTAAAGAGAATGTTAACTTTCCACAAAGCAAGCTAGCCAGCTACCTAGATGACTGGTTTCCTACCTTCCTTCCTCTCTTCCCCTGCCACTCCCTCCCTCTCCCCGCCCTCCCTCTCTCCCCCGCCCTCCTGTGCTGGGGCTTTAACCCAGGTCCTTGCACATATTAGGCAAGTGCTCTACCACTGTGCTGCACTCCCAGCCCTGAAGCTTTCTTTTCTGATATTATTGTTTCTTCTTTTTAATGCAGTTACTGTGGTGCTGTGTTGTTCATCTTTTTTGGAAGATGTTCTCTGTAGGCATAATTTAAAAAAGATGACCTTGCCAGGGATTTAGCTCAGTGTTTCTGCCACTTGCCTCGCAAGCGCAAGAACCCGAGCTCAATCTCCAGTACCAAAAAAAAAAAAAAAAAAAAAAAAAAAAAAAAAGATGACTTAGACTTCTAAAGTTTTTTCTTAAGTTTTGTGTTCAATGAAATCTAAAGGTCTTAGAACTACTGCCCAACAGCAAATAAGTTTTTTTTTCTTGAGATTAGCAATTATAATTTGTATGGTGTGGCCACTAGTATTTTTTATTAGCATTAACTTAAATCAACGTATCCCATATAGTGCCTTCAAATATATTTATATATTAGCTTATCTTGTTTTCTCAGATTCGCCATATTCTAGGGAGGAATTAAGCTCATTAACACCAGTTTACAGATGAACATGTTGAGACCTATAGAAGCAAAGTATCTTATTTCCAGTTACCCAGTAAGGCAGGAGAAGATCTCCCTTCAGGACACAGCTCCCAGGTGCTCCAGGTCGGTATTAATTGAAGAAGGAGAGCAAATAGCATTTTATTTCTCAGAGCAAGTCTGTCAGGTAGGAGCACTGTGAAAAGAATCAAGCTATTTCTGACTTAGAGAGAAACAAAGCCTAGAGGGGTAATTAGCGCTTGCCAGGTGAGGAGGGCACACTGGCAGAAAGCCTGTGGTTTTGTTCTTTAGGTACTGCCTTTTGTGTTCCCTCATTAAACCTTGTTTAACTGTGGAAAAGGCAACTAGGCTGAAACAGAATGACTCATTAGGGCTTTTCTTTTTTTCTCTTCTTTGCCTCGTCCCCTATAGTTCTCCTCCAGCCTTTTTAACAAGCCAGAAGAGGCCAAAGATGAATCTCCTTCTTCATGGAGATTGGGACTCAGAAAAACTGGCAGCCACAATATGCTGAGTGAGGTGGCCAATTCCAGGGAGGCTTTAAGGGACCGAAGCGCCTCCATCTATCGCTCCTCTTCGAGCCCTCGGATCTCTGCTCTGCTGGACAACAAAGATAAGGTGTGGTTTGAGTGGGGTGTGGGGAAATGCCAAGGCAGTTTTATTCCATTGTCTTAATTACTTTTCTTGTTGCTGAGACAAAATACCTAACACCCACAAGTTAAGAAGGAAAGGTTTATTTCGGCTCACAGTCTGTAGAGGTTCAGTCCATACTTGGCTGGCTCCAAGACCATGGCATTGGGACATGGCAGGCAGAAAGCAGCGACACTTCCTTCTTCCTTCCCTTTTCAGTCCACCCAGGCTACAAGCCTATTGGTTGGTGCCACCCACCCAGGTGGGTCTTCCCTCTTCACTAAGTCCATCACCCACACCCAGAACTATGCTAAGCCAATCAGAAGACTAATCTTTTTTGTTTTGTTTTGTGACAGGGTCTCACTATGTATTTGAGATTGACCTGGAACTCACTATGTAGCCCAGGCTGGTCTTGAACTCACAGTGATCCTCCTGCCTCAGCCTCCTGAGTGCTGGAATTACAGGCGTGCGCCTAATCTAGTATCATATATCCATGATCCAGAATCAACACCGGTGATCTAGTCCCAAAGCTCCACCCATGAGCACATGAGGCCTTGGGGAGACACTAGCTATAAATCATAACACTCATGAAAAGTCAGTCTTGGGCTCAGATAAAGTATTTTCTAGTCCTTGAGTTTATTTTGGAAGTACGGAGACTTTAAAAGGGAGACAGGCACATTGATAACTTAATCAAGTAGCTATTCGCTTGGCCAAAACAGAATAAAATAAGCTTTAAATGTGATTTTTCTTTTGGTTTACTTTGTGCCCGTTTTTGTTTAACCTCTTACATAAAGCAAAGCAATGGATATGAAAAAACTGGATATGGCCCAGTGGTGCTTTTGAAACAATCACAGATTTACTCCTTTTGATGTTTAGAAGCAAAGTTTCATAGTTGGGCTTTGAATCCTAATGAAGCATTTAGTTAAAGATTTTAAACTTGTAATTTTTTTTTTTTTTGGTACCGGGGACTCAAACTCGGGTCCTTGTGCTTGCAAGGCAGGTGGCAGAACCACTGAGCTAAATCCCCCCCCCCCGGTCCCCTAAACTTGTAAAGTTTTATTCATAGAAGTACAATCACAAATGGTTCATCTATGTATTCATTTAGATAAATTTGTTTTCAGATTTTGTGGGGCACGCTTGGTGCTCTTCTCTGGGTCAGGTCTTCCTTGTAATTATAGGCCTTTTGCTCTAGCTTTTAAAAGAACTTTTATTGGTGCATGTTTGCAGTACAGAATGATTGTGTTCATCAGGGTCTTGCTCTATCTGCATTTCTCGAGACTGTTTGAAGAAGTGAGGCTTATTGGTTGGATTAACTCTGCAGCATATTTATTTTGTATGTCCCAACGGAAGCTGCACTTCAAGAGAAGATACTGGAGACTAAATCAGGCTTATTTCGTCAAAAACATTAGAGTAGAGCCCTTTGTGGCTTTTCAAAGGTTCCTCTTCTTTCTTGGCAGGACTGTTGCTTTGTGTAATTTGTGTGCTCTTTTCATTTTTGTGTCGTCTGACTTTCCCAATGATGGTTACTTTCCTACATAGGGAGTTTTAATGGAGGCAAATTAGGAATAAGCTTTTGAAAGTATATTTGTGTAATACCACTCTAAATGGGATTAGTATTGAATCTAGATGTAATATTATTGTGTGTATATTAAGTCCTGCTTTTTTACCTAAAATGATATATGCTATGTCACTATGCTTTCCTTATTTTTATTTACAGGAAAGAGAAAATAAAAGCTATTTTAGTTCTCTAGCACCCCGGAGGCTCAGTAGCACAACTGACATTGAAGAAAAGGAGAACAGGTAACCCTAATACAAACTAAAAGATGGTTCCCTTTAGTTCTCCTGACAGTGATCTCTTGGCCATTCCCCCTCTGTCTTTTTTCCCTGGGTATCCTTAACACATTATGAATTTTTGTTCCTTTTGCTTAGAATACCTCCCAGCCCTGACTATCTTGCTTTCATTCTTCATCCTTCAAATTCTGACCTTAGTTTAGAGATCATGGCCTTTAGAATGACTTCCCTGATCCTTCCAAGTAAGGGTTAATTTTTGTCCAGAGCAGGGTCTGTACAGGTAGGGTCTATGTCTGTCTGGTTTCTCAATGACTTCTGGTGCCTAGTGTACTATCTACCCTATAATAAATATGAAAATATCCTATACTTGAATTGATCAACTTCTAATTTGTATGTAGATAAAATTTCTTTCTTTCTTTCTTTTTTTGGTACCGGGGATCAAACTTAGGCCCTTTCACTTGCAAGGCAGGCAGCAGAACCACTGAGCCAAATCCCCAGCCTGGGTAGATAAAATTTAAAGGTTCCTCATTAGTTAAAATACATATAGAGATTATGAAATTTTACTGCATCTCAGGGCACAACCTAATCTAGAACCTTTCTTCTTGAGGTTGTCTTCCAGCCTGCCATCTTGCAACTGGGAGCCTGTTAGAACCACAATACCTCAAGCCCATTCTTAGAGCCGCTGAATCAGAGGCTGCATTTCACCAGAATTTCCTAGGTGATTCAAGTGCACTTTAAAGTTTGAGGACAGTTCTAGAGAACCTGGTGGAGTATGGAGACCCAGGACCTTGCAGCAAAGACCCCGAGTTATCAATTGTGGATCTGAGATTCTACTACTGCCCCTTCCTGGATGCCTTGTCGTTTATAATGCTAAAGAGACTCCCAGCAAGTTCTCCTTCCCTGACCCCTTCTATAAGAACCTCTTTCCATGATGACACCCTTTGCATCTCTCATCAACCCTTCTCTGCTTATGAGCAGCCTATTACTAGGGAATGATTACAAGGTGCTTTTTAAATAAGGAATAAAAATGACTTCTCATCACAACAGGGTAAAGGCTTTGATATGAGAAAGTTGGTACCTGTTGAAATTAGCTGGCTATGAAGTTGATAGAAGAAAGCAGACAATAATACTTATCCTCTGTCCATACCAAAAATACACAACAATCACTCGAAAGATATATCTGCTACTTTAACTGTGTTACAGTTTGCTACTGGCTCTTCTCTTCCTGCTTGTATTATATTATGAACAAAATGAGTAGTGGAAATCAGTGTATTGTTTGTTTTTCTTCGTGCTGTACAGGGAATCAGCTGTGAATCTGGTGAGGAGTGGCTCCTACACTCGGCAGCTGTGGAGGGATGAAACGAAGGGGAGGGAAACCCCGCAGACAGTTGCTCCTTCCACCTATGTGTCAACCTACTTGAAAAGGTACCGGGTGCAGAGGGGCGGGAGATCATTTTCCTTCACTCTGGCTCAGGGAATCTGGGTAATAATCGCATGCCTTTAATATCAAAAACGAATCAGCAAATGGATTTCTTTTAGATTTCTTGGAATTAACTTCTTGACTAATTTAAAATTAAACTTCCATTGTTCTTTTAACAGCTGAATTAAAGTAATCTAATTCCAAATTCTCACCACAGATGTGACTTTATACTCCAGCCTCTCAGTCCTATTAAAATCTTCAATCAGAAGTGACTTCTAGTAATCTCTGGGCAAGACTGAATTTAAAATACCCTTGTCCAAGTAGCTGGCTATCCTTTCACTAAATCTAGAGTAGTTCCTGTCTCAAGTTATAATTTTGTGGGAGGAAGGGAGGGACACCGTAAGGTGGTGAGGGGTGGGAAATGGGAACAGTTTTCTGTTGCATTAAATGCATTTCATATTGAAGCCTATTAATTTAGGGACTTGAGTTATTTTTTTTTATGACTTTAATGGCCCTCAGATCCATCAAGATGTGAAACTCGCAAGTTTGATGCATAGAAGGTACATGGGTTTCCTTCTTTTCTCATCTATATTCCCCTTTCTGCAATTATTTCCTTTGCCATGTACTATACAGCAAGCAAAGCACCTTTGCCAGAACCATTAAGCTACAAGATATATTAATGTTTTAGTTTGAACTTTGCTGCTGATGTGGAAAAATCTGTTTTCATTGCTTACTTTCAGTTCCTTCTTCACTTCCACTTAACCCCTCAAAACTGCCTCTTCATGTCTAACATCATTAGGTTTTCTAGATGACTGGTTGGCTACCTTAGAAGCAGGTTTTGGCCATAGACTGTATGAGCAAATTAGCTGTTTAGCATCAAAACTTATTTCCATTTGACAGGAAGACTTGTCAGATAGTTAGTTTGAACATGAGAAATAATAAGCTGTAAAGGAAACAAGTACAATACAAGGCAATAGCCTTTTAATGTTCTTCAGTTTTATCGGTATATCCTGTAAGCAAGGGCTCAACTCTGAAGGTAGACAAGTACAGTTCAGTGATCTTACTGGCTCTTCATTATACAAACCAGATGCTTTTGGCTTTATGAGGCTATCAGCTATTTGTCTTAAAGGCAAAGGATTTGGTTTATCTGGATACATTACTCTTCCCTGCAGAGGAATACAAGATGAGAAAATAATGTTCTAGATGTAGGAAGGAGAAAGCTGCCATTTACCTTCTAGGCATGAGTTATTTTGTGGTGAAGTAGTTGATTTTCATGACCCAAACTGTCAGCAAATGAGTTGAGTGGTTTTTCATTTAATAGATGTAGTTTGGTGAAGTTATGGTGAAGAGAGGAGGGCAGGGCTGCCTTTATTTAGATGGAAGGTATGCTTAATTATGTGAGCAACTTATGAGAGTAGCTACAGTTTGTTTCAAACCTGGAATGTCCAGAGCTCATCTTCTGTAACCCTCAGGTACTTCTTGATTTCATAAAATCCTATCCTATGATCTTTTCAAGAAGAAAAAGTAAATGCTATCATCTTTTTTAAAAAGAAAGTACAAGTAGGACTTTGTCTTTCCCCGCTGTGCCAAGCCCTGGCATACCTTCTATTTTCTGTGTCATCTCCTATCTGTAGGCAGATAAAGAATTCATTTCAAATGGCCCAGTAAAGTACCTCTTTCCCAGAGAAGGCTTCGGAGTTTATTTTTATCACTCCCTCAAGTGTCTCATTACTATGATAGCCAGGAAGTATTTTTTTTAAATCTAACACACATTTTTTGCTACAATTAAGATGGTTCTTGTCTATCTTTAGTTGAAACAAAGGAGAGTTGCCTTTTATTGCCCATACAACATTACCTTCTAGATGTAAAACTTTTAAGTACTCCCAGAGGCATTTTTTGCTTTAAACTAAATAATTATAGTCTGTAGGGTCATTATTTCAGAGCTTCTTTACTCTTGTCTACTTTTTATTTTAAATCTCTAAAGCCTCCCAGATTCTCTGTTCTTACTTTCACTTTTGCAGTGCTACTTCTGTACCAGGTAGACATTTGGGGTTGCATGATTTTTTGCCTTGGTTTGTTGGGAATTATTCTTTTCTAATAATATTTTTCTATTTCCTATTATTTTCCCTTTCTTAGCTTCTACCTTATCATATATTCTACTTTCCTGATTTCTCTTGTTACATATCATCCCTCCTTCTTCACTTTTTTGAGTGATTAACCGAAAGATCATCCTTCAGAGAGTTATGGGTGATTTCCTGCTTGCTGCCAGTGAGCCAGCTCCAGCTGGAGTTGATCACACCACTTCCCAGTCATCATACTTTCTCTTTGGTCTACATTCCTTTTAAGTGCACAGTCTGGGTGGGAAGGTGGTGCTGGGAAATGGTGGGTAAACCGCATGTCCTGAAGAAAGTGACTGTGTGATGTTTTGCAGTGCTTCATTTGGTAGAAGTAGTGACCCCACAAGTCCCTACATTTCAGCCAGTCGCAATTCATCTCCTGCTACCTCACCCATTACCATTGGTTCATCTACCTCTCGGGGCAGCCAGTGGCAACATGCCTCTTCTTGCTCTGCACCAATCAGTGCAAACACTACTGCATCAGTACAACATGGCAGGTAAGGCTTCTTGGAGCCATTTGAGTTGCATTAATCAAAGTGAATGCCTCTGAGAACTCATATGGGATTTGAACCAAAGAGGCTTTGTCAGTCTAGAACCAAGTTTGAATTCCTGTGAAAATGTCCAAAACTGCTTTTTTTTTGGCTTTCAACAGTCAATCAACAATAACTTATTGAATAACATAGAATATGTATCATTGTACTTGGTGTTCAGGGCTCAACTTAGCATTGCTCCTTTCAGCTCCTTAACCTTACCAGTTGTGATAACTAGGGGCAAACCTGTTGTTGAAAATTAAATATTAAAACTACTTCTGTATTTTACTTATATTAACTTTCTCCTGATTCTAAGTGGAAATCTCATGTATTTAGTCATTTTGGAAGATAACGTAGAAACCCAAATCTCAAGGAAAGCTAACTTATGTTCCAAAAGCCTGTTACAGCTTTCGGAGGATTCCCAGCCAATGAGAATATTTTTCTGGGAACACTGTGGGAAGGAAAGATTTCGGTTTGTCTCACCTGTGTTCTGGGAGCAGTGTCTCTTTGGTTCCTAGTTCATCTGAGGGTAGCGTGGGCAGAGTCCCATTGTGAAGGTACAATAGGACTTTAGCTGCAGTTTTAATTGTGGTTTTTAATCCTTTTAATGTAGTCAGAGGCTCTTTTGCTTGTAGGGTATGGCTTTTGTAGATCTTGTCCCTATAGTTGAAACAAAGAAAATGAAAAAAAAAATGTTTATAATGATAGTATTGTTGCAAGAACACCAGTTATGATGGTACTTGATTGATATTTGTCCGTCTACTAGATTTCTTTCCCTAAAACAAGCAGGAATCATTAATTTGTCAAGGTAGGACAGATTTGTGATGGATTATTCTTAATAACACTATATAATTATGTAGAAATTAATTATATTCTTATAATAATCTAGTTACTTAGGAAGGACAGGCTTATGACAGATGATTAGGTAGAAATTTATTGGGTCCACATAATGATTCAGCTGCGTAGAAATGGTAAATATTAGCATCATAGATGAAGAAACAAACACAGAGGAGTTCTTGATTAACTGCTAAGAGCCGAAAGTGGGTAAAAATAAATACAGCTCTTGTTGGTTGAATTCTGTTGCATGACGGGCATTAGGTCAGGTACTATACAAAAAAAATTTTTTACTTTTTTTTTTTTTTTTTT